CCATAACACTTCTTGCCTGTGCTCTTGTACCAGCTGTGGGCTGTGGATGCTCAGTGCTCTGTTCTAGAGAGAAGTGGCCAGTGTGGGAGAGTGTCAGCCATTGACCTGGAAGATGCACAAGCCAAACGGAGCAGAACGTGCTTCTCTTCAGAGGAAAACACACCAATCAATATATATGGGGATATGCTATTTCAGCAATTCGCGTTACAATTATGTCCACACTAGCAGCACTTCTCCTTTACATGCTGTGTAAACCAGAGCGCTCTGCCTGGAGTTGCCTCCTCCTCCTTCTCACAAGCGTGTGGATGGAGTTTAGTGAGATGAATGCAGGCTCTGGACAGACTTGCACGAGCACAGCAAATCCATAAGTGTTCGCTAAGCACTGGGTCAGAGTCTCTCAGAGGAGGCCTTGAATTCAGCTCCCTTCCGTACTTTGGCCAAGGCCTACGTCCTCAGTGGCAAAGCTCTTCCGTTCTACACGCTACCTCCCAGTTGTGTTTTCTGACAAGCAAAGTTCATGACTGACTCCCTAACAGTGGTTGCATGCACTATTCCCTTCCCTTTGACAATTTTCTCTGCCTGCAGGTGCAAATGCATTGAGAGGCCCAAGGCTGGTGTCTGGGGAGGCTGGAGGAGCTGTCACCATCCATTGCCATTATGCCCCCTCCTCGGTCAACAGGCACCAAAGAAAATACTGGTGCCGCCTGGGGCCTCCGTTGTGGATCTGCTCCACCATCGTGTCCACCAACCACTACACTCACCGTGACTACAGAGGGCGTGTGGCTCTCACTGACTTGCCACAGAGCAGTTTGTTCACGGTGAAGCTGTCCCGACTGTCACTGAATGACACGGGACTTTATCGCTGTGGCATCGGAGACCGAAATGACGTGCTGTTCTTCAGGATGAATCTGATTGTGTCTGCAGGTATGAGCTGGTTGATGGCTGATGGGCCACATTTGTAAAGCTGAAGTTCAGAAGAAATGGGTACAAGAGATGGCTCAGAAGCCCAAGAAAGCCTTGAGCCTTTCTCAATAAATAATAGGGGAATGGGAGGAAGGCTCTGAGAGGTATGCTTTCAGTTTAGATAGAAGTTATCCTTAAGAAGGCAAATACTAGGGAAGAGTGCCCAATGGAGTATATATAAGGTCACCCACCTGGTTCTTTCTATCCTGAATGTTGCAGAATGAATGTTTGAAATGAGGTCCAAAGATGCTGTGACTTCTCTGATTCCAGAAAACTTGGTGTTCAGACATGCAGAGATGAAGTAGCACTGGTGATGCCTGCATGAAAGGACAGAAGGTCTGGGGCTAGGCTTCCCTAGAGGAGCGCCTAGCTGAGTCCCTCAAAGACATCTGACAGCTCCAAGGCTCTGTTCCAAAGGCTGGATCCAGATTCAGGCATAGAAGTCTAAAGTGGTGT